TCACTTTTTCAGTGCCGTTGTAAGTAATTTCAGTCACTAAACGAAAAGGTTGTAAGTTGAGGATGAGAAAGAGCCACGTTAGTGCAGTAGTTAGAATGCAGTACTGCAGGCTACCTCTGCTGATCATCAGCTGCCAACAATTTGGCAGTTGAAATCTCATCAGGTTCAAGGTTGACTCAGCCTTCCATCCTTCTGAGGTCAGTAAATTGAGGGGTCAGATTGTTGTGGGCAATAGGCTGACTCTGTAAACTGTAAAAGAGAGGGCTGCCAAAGCACTGCGAAGTGGTATATAAGTCTAAGTGCTATTGCTATTACCTTGATGTTGATGTTGAAGAAAGCTCCGAGGACCAAAACAGGGAGCTGCACCAGATGGGAGGTTGTTTTTACTTCACCAGCTTCTGAAATATGCCAGCTTTTTACATGCTCAGAAAAATAAAAGCAAATCTGAGAAATATTATTTGGGGGGGGGAAGGGATTGGCAACTAATGGGCATTGTGAAAAGGCTCCTCAATACCTTATATTTGATGAGATCTATATTGCTTTTAGATTATGCCCAATGGGCAGAATAAAGATTCGAAACACTGTCTTCTAAATTGTTGTTCCCCATCTATTTTTTCACAGATAATTCCTGATTTAATTTTGTCTTCCCAATAAGCTGTCCCCAGCTATTTTGAACTCCAACAGTAATCATCCCCAGGACAATCTCGTTTGCTGGGCCCTGATTCTGCCAAGTATTTAGCAAAGCCTGGATTGGTCCTCAAGCTAGGATAGGATAGGATAGGATAGGATAGGGTAGGGTAGGGTAGGGTAGAATAGAATAGAATAGAATAGAATAGAATAGAATAGAATAGAATAGAATAGAATAGAATAGAATAGAATAGAATAGAATAGAATAGGCAGGGCAGGGCAGGGCAGGGCAGGGCAGGGCAGGGCAGGACAGGACAGGACAGGACAGGACAGGACAAGAGTTGGAAGGGATCTTAGAGGTCTTCTAGTCCAACTCTCTGCTCAGGGAGGAAACCTTATACCTGTGATGGCGAACCTATGGAACATGTGCCCGAAGTGACACGTGGAGCCACGTCACCTGGCACGTGTGATGTTGCCTATTCCTCTTCCAGGTTTCTGGCATGCATGTGCATGTGACAATCAGCTGGCCTTTTTGCATGCAGCAGTGCCAGAAACTAGAAGAGCAGATTTTCTGTTTTCCTTTGAGAGCTTGTGCAGTGGCCAGCTGATTGTCGTGTGTACATGGGCAACAGAAACCCGGAAGAGTAGCTGGCTCAAACCGGAAGTTCAGTAGCTGAAACTGGAAGTTCATTTTCGGGCGAGCACCTGCGTCCTGGGCAGCTCCTCTTCTAGCTTGAGACACAGATGCGCGTGTTCCCTTTTTGGCACTTGGTACCAAAAAGGTTTGCCCTATACCTTTTCAGACAAATTGTTGTCCAATCTCTTCTTTAAAACTTCCAGTGTTGGAGAATTCACAACTTCTAGAGGCAAATTGTTCCCCTGGTAAATTCTCTAAACTCTAAATAAAGTTGCTTATCCTTGATTTAAAAAATGAATCATCTGGCTTTGTAAGAGAAAGCTTCAAAGGGCTGTGTACAGCTACCCCGTTATTTTAGTCCATTCTCTTTTTGTATCCCCTGTAAGAACACAAAACTCCTGAGAATAAACTCTGTTGGAACAGGCCAAGACACATCAGTTCAGCATCTGGTTCTTCACAATGGCCAAACAAATGCCTCTGGGAGCGGAAAAACATGTGGGCACACTACCTCTTTGCTATTGTTCTCTCGCAATATGATGGATTTGTTCTCCTAGGTTTTTTTGTAATCTGCTTTTAAAGGCAGCCTAGTTAATGGTCAGCACCATGTTATTTTTCAGATTAATGATGTATGAATTTTTTTTTTTTTGCCCAGTCTAAATCTCTTCCAATTAGCTTTATTGGATGAGTTGTAGTCCTTATATTTTGGGAAAGGGAGAAAACCTCTTCACAAGTCAAACATGAAGTGATGTACTTCACTGTATTCTGTTGTGGCTCTGTTACCTGAGCCTGTGTTATCGGCAGGAGAGGACTCTGAGAGTGAAGGAGAGGAGTTGGCAAGGCCTCCCTCTCCAGGACCCTCCTCTCTGGCAATGCCTTCGGTATCCTCCGAAAGTCAAGAGATAGGCCCGGGGCCAAGCATGTCCACGCAGCCACAGGTGGACAGTAATGAGGAAGATGAGTCTTGGCTGGACCCTCGGCAGCATTGCAGAGATAAGCACGCGCAGCAGAAGAAGAGGCATGCCAGGGATTAGGCTGTCACTGGACCACACCCCACAGGGTATAAAAGAGGGTGTGGTGGCCGGTTCAGCTCTGTGACAAGCAAAAAACGGATATTGGATGACCTTCTTTGTATTTACTGGACTTCGTTGATTATTGTGTATTGGCTTTGTTCCCAGACGAAAGGAGAAACTCCCCCCTCGTGAGTAAAGAATACCTGGCAGCCAGCCACTGGGTTGCTGCCAATTCTGATAAACTGTTGTTGGCTGAGTTCTTTAACTGTTGCCTGTCTGTGAGGGTGCGTGTGTGAGACGGGGACAGAACATATTCCTCTACCACCATTGCCTTTTCCCAAGCTGAAGTGTTGGAAGGGGAGAGCTTGTTTTGCAGTGGCTTTCCTCCGTTAAGTTTTTGTCTCCTTTTAAGGACGACTAAGAAAAGTGTGTATGCTAAGAAAATTGTCAGGTTGTTTCAGCAGGTTATCAAATGTACCTCCTGTATTGTATCATTGCAAAAGGAGTTGCATTTTCCTACCCTTTCAAAGCAAGTTAAGTTCTTTTTGAAGCAGGATTTGTATCACTCTTTAATCAACTGTTAGCAAGCTACTTGTGATGATTCATGCCTTGGCCTCAGCAGGTCCCACAGAGGGCACTTACAGTCCTTGGTGGCAGACATTCCTATATCTTTGAATATCTCCATGTTATTTGTTTAAACCAAACTGTTGTGACTAATATATTTTGTTACCAATGGAACTTGTTTGTTGTCCATAGGCAAAAATCCCTTTTTTGCCAAACAAGTTCAGCAGCCTACCAGTTCCCACTATCGAGCTGAAACGTTTGGGACCCAGCACAAAATGTTGCAATGTCCTTCAGATGAAAGTTTCGTTTCGGAGCCAGAGCCATTTTTGCCTGCAGGGAACTCTAAGCCGGAAGAGACTGAATTGAAACATTCACAGTAGAAAGACTGAGAAAAACCTTTGCCCATTAAAGTTTTCAATTTGAAAAGCAGCGGCAACGTCAGCTCCTAGTTTCCTTAGTCTGCTCTTGTTCATCACTTTATTCTCTAATCTTCAGCATCGTTGGAAAATGAGTAAGGCCCCACCCTCAAATTGATCCCAGCTTATCAAATTATTAGATGGGCAACACAGGACAGTATTGATTTTGAAGCAGAATCCTTGCTTTCAGGAAGGATAAAGAATTTCCCAAATACATATGTGCATATTTTACAAGTATGACCAACTCCCACACCCAAAAAAAACCTGCTTGGAGGTGCAACTCCACTTCCCAATCCTAAATACAGTATATAGTATGCAGATAATGTTCATTAATTTCAATAGAATTTTCTTCCAAACATTTGCTGGGATTTCAGAGATTATTACAGGGTCCTAGGTTTATGAATGATAAAATATTTTCCCCATCATTACATAGAAGTAAAAATTCCCTGCTCATTTTTTTTTTTTTTTTGGTCTATACCAGATCTTTCTGATGAATGTGTAGCACATTCAATATCTGAACTGCAGATTAAGAGCATCTAACAATTCCTGGGCTCTGATCTTTTTGCCTATCAATCTTCAAACTTGCATTTGCTTTCTTGAGTTCCAATCAAACAAGTGCTTTCAAAAAGGAATCTGCTTTTCAAGGGTGTGTATGTGTGTGTGAACATTCACAGCAACAAACTGGTTTGGCAAAACCGATCCTGGGCACAAAGAGTTTCATATGAAAAGCAGATTCAACGAACGATGGGACTGAAATACTTGGAAATCAATTCATTCACCAGACACTCTTACACGTGAATTGGATTCTATTAAAGGAGCCATTTTCAGAATGATTCAAGGTAACTGTAATCTAAGATAGTTAAAGGACAGGATCGTCCTATTCATATCAAAAGCAAGAATTTAAAAAAATGTCAGCATTGCAGCTGCCCCTATTGGTGGAATCAGTCCCAAAATCTTTTGATTTAATCCTTAACATAGGAAAAACATTGGCAGTTGTTATCTAGCAAGCAATAACTGTGAAAGAAAGCATGAACCATTTGAATGTCAAGTACAAAATTGCGTGCTTGGTGGGAGGGCAGTTGGTGCAACTTTGAGAGCAGAAAAGTAAAGCGTACAAGTACGCATGTTTTCATATAAGTGGCTAGTGCAGGATTTGTAAATCTGGAGAAGTTTGGAGGGCTTCTTAAAATGTTTTTCTTAGGAGTGTGACATCCATCTGGCTACTGAAACTTTTTTGTGGGGAGGTGATTTCTGTGGATAGACAGAGGAAAATTATTTGACCACTGAATTTTGGCAGGATGTCTGGAGGGCTGCTAGAAAGGAAATTTATGATTTACACGTGACTTGAACATTGCACATCTCTACATTGTGAGAACTGCAGTTTTTTTCACAACCAGAGCAGGGACCTGGGAATTTTACATTCAGCAAAGCTAAGGCAATATAACTAGAAAGCATGGTGTCCTTCTGCAAATAGAAATTCAGAAACAAGTTCCAAAGAAAAATCCAACTGCAAAAATATTTCAAATGCCACAAACAATTCATTTGTCATATTTTAGATTTCTGGCTACCACGGGAATTTACAGTGCATCTCCCATGTTGAAGAATATAATGCTGCCTAGTATATTGGCTTTTTCTTCCCAGATCATATGGGGAAAAGCAACAGCACTTCACAAAACTATACTGTAGAGGAAAAGCAGATGAAAAATGCAGAAGTTAGGCAGAAAAACTGTCCACTCTACAAAGGAATATTTGATAATGGTTTTATTGCAACACGTTTAGTCAGAAAGCTCTACCCGAATGTGATGCTTTGTGGATAGCACTTGAAGTCAGTAAAATTCTGTGATCATAACCAAATTAGTTTGACCTAATAAATATAGGTAGTCACTGACTTACAACTATTTGTTTAGTGACCATTTGAACTTATAACAGCACTGAAAAAAGTCACTTACCACCGATCATCACACTTAAAATTGTTATAGCATCCCAGGGGACATATGATTTCTATTTGCAACCTTCTCTGGCTTCCGATAAGCAAAGTCAAAGGAGGAAGCCAGGTTCGCTTAAGGGTGATTCACTTAAACGTGGCAAAAAAAGAGAAAAGGTTGTAAAATCAGACATGACTCACTTAAGAACACCTTGGTAAGAGACATTCCGATCCCTATTGTAAGGGATCATAAGTCGAGGATTGTCTGTATCACAGAAGATCCACAATACTATAATACTTCCTTGCACACTAAAAACCTCTGTTATCAGAGATCCCAGTTTGCATGTATCCACAAAATTATACTCTTGCGATTGTACCATACTTGTGGAAATTGTCTTTTCAGTCATAACAATCCTAATAATCCCCCCAAATTGGAGAGGTCTCACTGGTGTGGCCAGGTCCTCATTACTGGAATAGGGTTCCCATTAAGGAATGATAATTTTCTATCTCAAGAAAGGCTGGGCACATTCCAGGTAAATGTAACTGGAGGGAGGACAGGATCCTTTCACCATGCTAAAGGGATAGAAAGGGGAAAATATGGCAGGCACGCACCAGCATATCTCAAGCATTCTCCTGTACAGAAGTATTAGAAATTTTAAAAGTTGGAAAAAAAAAAAACATTCAGCAGATTAGTGTTTCAAGAGGTACATACATTTTTTGGCATTATGCGTTTCTCATACATCTATTTTCCTTTGCAAAGTACAAAAACAGATTCCGTTTCAAAATAAAATTAATGATACTTTAAGGAGTTTAAATCATATGATACAGTCAACATACAAGGGTTTGCCATCTAGAAAGTGAGGGCATTGTAGCTTTTCTTTCAAGCACCTTGTCATCATTTCACAGACTTTGGGCTTGTATAAACACTGCTGCCTTGTTGCATGGCTAGAGAATTCCATAGGTGTAGTTCACACTCTCCAAACAAAACAGCATCATGAACACATATTGCTTTTCACTGGAAAGAGCTATCTGGCACTTTAGCAATTTAAGAAAAAAAGATATGTTTGACTACCCAATCTGAAACAAGTTATGTGGAAGGAAACTCTGCAAGGGTCTACTTTCCAATGACAGCTTTCAGCCCAGAGAGAAAAGCAATGCATTCTACCCAGTTGTTCAAAACAAACCATCAGTTGTACACAATACTTGAAATTATCTATTCTTGGAGAAAAGAAAGGAACGACGTGTCATCTTTCCATGTTCAGGTTTAAGGAAATGTTTTGTCTTTTCAGCTAGAGAACCACTACAAAAATACAATTATGTTTAGCCATAATTTAAATCAGAAGTCTTCAAACTTGGCAGCTTTAAGACTTGTGAACTTCAACTCCCAGAATTGAAGTTGAAGTCCCCAAGTCTTAAAGCTGCCAAGTTTGAAGACCTCTAATTTAAATAATATTTAGCCTACCCTGCCAAAATATTCTACTCATTAATGAAAGATGTTTTCATTATCACTTTCATCTCTCATTACGGACAATATTCTTCTGAGAAAACCATAGGGAGGGAACAAAGATAAATCTGTATTTTTAAAAAATCCAAAACCTTTTTTCAATTTCACACTTGATTCTGCATCTGCAATCTACAATACTCCTTCTGATCAGGCAAACCTGCTTTCTTGCATTTTCAAGGACATTTCACTCCACCTGAGACCCAACCCTCCCCACATCAAAGCATAACTATGCTGCTCTGGAAGTTTCCTTCAGAAGCAGTTTCGCAAGTGGCAAAACAGATAGTTGTCTTATCTCATCTGTCAGGGGACATAACATACAAGCTCTGCCCCGTTGCTTAGCTACATGTGAAAAAATGTTGAGCACAGGAAAACTCACATGATAAAAATAAATCAGAAAAGACCGGACCAATTTTCTTCAGGGCCCAGTGAAGTTAGATTGTCCAGCTCATCAGTTTTCAGGTTCTAAGTATATGAAATTTGAAACTCCCTAAAGCAGCCAAAATGTTTAGTGTTCTCCAGCCTTTCCCAAAGTGATACCCGCCAGGTTGGAAATAATGGGTATTGTAATCCAACACCCTCTGAAAGGCACCATGTTGGGGAAGGCTGCACTGACCAATGATTCTCTGTTACTCCTCTCCCTATGTCAGTCCAGAGTAAGATTGCTGATTTCTTCTGTTTAAATTATTTTACAGATATATATGTTTTCCGAGACAGCAGGATCTTTGGAAAATGATGCTCATCACACCCGCTGTCGATATCTAAAGAAGGCCCATAATAGAGCTGCTCCTGCTGCTATGGCCAACCCTGGCACCAAAATCATAGCCAAAGGAATGCCTCCTGGATCTCCATCTCCTCGGTGGCTTGAGGGACCATTCTGGGGCAATAGCTGCAATCAGAAGGAGAGGAAAGGCATTAGCAGTTGAATCAAAGGAGGAGATGGTTCAACTTTCTAAGGAAATTTAGAAAAGCAAGGATGACCCACGTCTTCAAGCTGGCAAAATTGAAACTTCTTCTCCAAAGACATATTCAGCCAAGCTACTTTTGAAAGCTAGTGCATGTCCTAATAAGATACCGTAAATGGGATTCCCATGTTATATTTGAGAAAAAGAGGACTTTAGGGAATTAAGTTTCACCTTGGCTTTATGGAAAATCTAAAAAGATCTCCTTTTCACACCCACCCTATTGAGGAAGCTCTAACAACCATTTTGAACAATCATTTCCATTTTCAATCACACCAAAACAAGCAGGCAAACAAAATGTATCGCAATCTTTGAACAGAATAAAATAAAACTCCACTACATGCAATAACAGACATCCACATCTATATACCATTTTTTCGGAGTATAAGACGCACCTTTTTCCCCCCAAAAAGAGGGTGAAAATCTGGGTGTGTCTTATACTCCGAATGTAGCCCTGCCCAGTTTCTCAAAAGGAGGTTTCAGAGGCTGAAAAAAGCATCAGAAACGAAGCTTCAGAAAAAAAGCCCCCAAACAGAGCTTCAGAGGCTTTTTTTCTGAAGCTCTGTTTCGGAGGCTTTCAGAGGCAGGGAAAAAAAAAAAAAAAAGCAAGGCACAGAGGTCACAACTAAGGAACCTGTTGCTAAAATTCACCTCTGGGAACAGCTGATTCGCAGTATTCCAGGAGGCCGATCAGTTTTTTTCTTATTTTCCTCCCCAAAAACTAAAGTGCATCTTATACTCCGAAAAATACGGTAATATCTCTCTCCCTCTCTCTCTCTCTGTCTCTCTCTCTCCCCATCTCTCTCTCCCTCCCTCTTCCTCCCACTCCCTCTCCCTCCCTCCCTCTCTCCTGAAACATTTTCCAATAAAACTATAGGGATAAGTCCATGCAGTTGCTAATTCAAAAGCTAGCTAGCTAGCTTTCTTTCTCTCAACATTAATCAAAATTTTGAAGATTTTGCTATGGCACACTGTTATAGATAATCCACAACATTTTGCCACTTGGTAGGTTACTTTAAGGTCTCCATTTGCTATACATAAAATTTATCAAAATGCCCAGGGAAACTTTACATTACATAACACATATACAAGTGTACATCAGCTTCCCCAGACTGCTCTTGTTCAGATGTGTGGGACTACAAAAGTTATCTGCATTCCCAACACATCTGAAGAGCGTAACATGATTGGGGAGATCTGACACATGCCGCTCACATTCAACTTCTGCTACTTATCTGTTACATTTCTCTCCTCTATCTCTTGCCAAACTTGCATTAAGTATCCTAATTTATCCACACTGTGGATTTTACTTGGAAGGGCTATATGGCAGCAAATGTTTAAAAAAACATTAAGTTTTTCCCAGCATGGTGCTCTTCTTATACAATACACTGCAACTCCCCAAATCCCTCAGTCATTTGGCCTTGAGGATGGGAAAAATAGGAGTAGCTTGTTCATCACATCTGGAGGGCACCAACTTAGAAAACAGTGGTTTATAATAGAGATGTTCAAAATCAATGTTTATGTTCCTCATCCAAATCATGCCAATCCAACTTTCTGCTGTAGCTTGGCGTTTTCCTAAATTCTTTGAAGCACTTTGGGGAAGTTCTACCAAAAACTAAAGAAGAGGGCCTACATACCCTGTGCTGAACCCTTAATGATACATTGTCACCAGCTGTCCTGAAAAGTTCCACAACATTCTTGTGTAGCATGTTCTTCAACTCATTATCATTAACCTGGAAAAAAAACACAGGTAAGGCCAATTAGGTACTCACCACAAAACTGCCTGGACCCAAATCATCACTGAAGAACAAAAGCCTAATTGGAATGAATAATTCTACTCCATTAGTTAGAATACAATAATTAGTACAGACCATTTAAGTAACACATTCCAAGTGTTTTAAGAGCTCCAGTTTTTCCCTTATATTTTCATTAACTGCCAGCATTCTGAATATATTCTGTACATGGAACAGCATACAGTATAAACCAGAACTGTACCTAGGTATTTAAGAGCATGAGCTAGTTTAGAATGCCATCAACTTCAAAGAGCTTTAAAATGCTAAGAAATGGAAATAAAACTACAATCAATGTACAGACATAATGCTGTAAAACAAAGGTAGGTAATTTGTGACTCTTGTAGCCTCTTTTTGTAGCCTTTAGACCTTCTGGTGATGTTTACTGAAAACTGATAGCAGCTGCCTATCGTTATCATAGAGATTACACTTCAATCTTCACATGTCTCCTAACATAAACATAGTAAAGAAAACACAAGAAAATCCCAATTCCCTGCAAAAGTTCAATCCCACCTACATGTGTGAGATAATTGCAGCCCTTGTGATATTCAGAGTGACCCTTGCCTGAGTTGCCCATACTCTAGTATAAAAAGGACATGATAGATGACTCTTCCTTGAAGCTCTAAACGTTTTGCTAAAAAAAACCCCACATCTGCAAAAGCTGTAGGTTCCTACAATTCAATTAGCATAAGTTTCACCGGATGAAGTACTATGTGCCCATTTCAAAGGAGAACAGTTATACTTGTAAAGAGAAAAGCAGTCCTCAAAGGAAGGGTACATATTTTTTCATGGACCGAAGGTCATATATCGCTGTTGACTGGTATGCCAGGACCGCTATACCAAAACAGAGACAGTGGGGCCAAGAAAAAGAAACAGCAATAGCATATATAGACTTATACTACTTTACGGTACTCTGAGCGGTTTACAAATATCAGCATATTGAAGTGGTCAGGATCGAACTCCTGGCTGTGGATAGAATTAGCCTCCAATAGTGCATTCTAACCACTGTGCTACCATGGCATACTTAAAATACAGTTAAAGTCTCTGGCAGCATATATGCCATGTTTGTTTCCAGAAAAGGTACAGCTTATTACTCAGATTTATTCTCCCCCAGAGGCAAACTTCCTAGTCAGATAAGTCACAATATACAATTTACTGGTTCGCCCCAGATCAGACGAACTGGTAGTGGCGGGAAGCTCCGCCCACCCACCCGGATGTCTCTGCGCATGCACAGAAGCGTCATGGGCGCGCGTAAGCACGCGTGCACCCACGAGCAAAATGGTAGCGATGGGGTTTGAAGCCCACTACTGTACATACAGGATGGATTTGATCACACCTTTAGACAGAAGACAAATTATTCTCTTCCATTAGTTCTTAACCATTCTGGCTGGGGAATTCTAGGAGTTGACGTCCACACATCTTAAAGTCGGTAAGGTTGAGAAACACTATTCTATGCAGTTGGGATTGAGACAAATTCATATTGTGGCTGTGTTAAAGCCTGCCGAGATGTTGTAAGTGCTGCTTTCTTCATTATTCCCATTATACCAATATTAGTTAGAAAAGACACCTATTAGATTGGGGAAATCTGCCTATATAATGGAGTGAGGTATCAATAAAATTTTGGTCTTGAATTTTCAAGCAGCTTAGTGATACAGATTGGATGGGTTTACAGAAACAGCTAGTATTGTGAAGAGATTGTAAATGTTTCTACATCATTCTCCGCCTCCTCTCCCCCGCCCCCATCCCCATGAAACAATTTCACAGGACAGAATTAAAGTATTTACTGCTAAAATCTTGTCTCCTTCCTGAAGGCGGCCATCAAGTGCAGCAGCTCCATTTTCTTTGATCCGGCTAACGTAGATGCCGCTGTCATTGGCGATATACTGCTGATCAGTCCCGCCAACAATATTAAATCCCAAGCCTAAAAAGAAAAGATCAAAAAGAAAAAGGTTTAAAAAAAGGTTTTTTTTAAAAAAAAAAAAAAGTTAATTTCTTAATATGTTCAAGTTAGATTAGGAAAACCTTTTTCTGAAACTGCACAAATATTGTTACTATGTATAAGGCACGTAATGGGCAGTTTGCCACAGCCAACTCACCCTGGCCAATTTGCCGCAGAACTATTCAACAATTCAATTTTATTATTTAAAATAATTTTAAAAATATTTTAATATTTCACACTTCATTTTGTCCTTTCTCTGGCATACTTTCTTTAATTATTATTTTTTACCATTTCTTCGATATTAGTGTAAGTCTTGTTCCAAGGCAAATTGTCCCATGGGGAGTTGGCCATGGAAAGTTGTCCTGCAGTGAGTTGGCTGTGGTAAGTTGTCCCTCAAACTGGTGGCCCACGGGCCGGACCCGTCACATGCAGGCCAAGCCCACCCCAGCTCCACAGAGGGGAAAAAGTCACGAAACATCACGTGATGGCAATGTGACGCCGCAAATTTGGCACACGTGTTCTAGACCCTATAAGGCAATACTAAGCTAAATGGTTACTTCAGATACAAGTTGTGAGATATGAGATACAAGTTGTGTGCCATTTATCTGATTTAACTTTAGTAAACTAATAAAATGGTTATAAAAATGTAAAGCATTGGAAAAATATTTTTCACCTAATGAAGAACACATTATGGTTACACATAATTTTTGTTTTGATTTGGTTTTAATATTTGCGATGTTAATATTTTTTTATTGTACATTGATGATGTTTTATCTTTTGGTTATGAGCTGCCCAGAGTTTGAGACAAGATGGGCAAATATATATTTTGCAATAGTGGCGAATATCTGTAGCTCGGGTGTAGGATGAGAGTGAAGGTTCGTTCTTTGAGTTTGTGAGTTGGTTTCCAAATGTTTTGTTACCAGGCTAGGTAACATCTTCAGTGGAGTTTAGGGGATGTCAGTGTCAGTGTTTTTCTGTTTATAAGGGCCTCAAGTGTGGGTGTGTCAAATGAGGGTCTTGTGATGGGTCAGCTGTGCGTCATCAGTGAGTCTTGTGATGGGTCTGATATATGTTTTAAAGAAATAGATCTCTAAAGGCAATGGATACACAAGATAGAGATGACCAAAGAATGCAGCAATGATGTACTTGCAACAGCCTTGTGAAGAAGGAAAGAGGAGTCATACAAGTGGAAGGTATTTGTCCCAAGTAAAAATCGTTAAATGACTTCATATTATTGGGAGTAAAAACAAAGTCTGGCCATTTTTGCCTACTATACAACTTGAGAAATTGGGAACAATAAAGTTGAATTCAGTAGGGAGAAATCATGTTACTGCCATCTCAGAATAAACATTCACTTTTAAAACTACAACACATCAGGTATTCTTTCTACCGGTCACAATGGAGTAAAATTTACATTCTTGCATACCTTTAATATAAGAAATGCTTTAATCTGGGGCAGGAGTATCAAATGACATCCTCTTTCTTTGAGATGAGATATACAATTGTCATTCACCTCTCTTTCTCCTCCCCACAATTTCACTGCTTTATTAACTTCATAATAGCCAAAACAATATTCAGCATATATAGACTCCTAACACACATTGAATTAAACGAGATTAGGATAATCATAAAAACAGGCATGAAGACTCTCATTTAGACATTATAAGGTACATATTTATTTCTGGACTAGGATCTGACTAATGCTTAATATTCCACTAGGTGTCACTAATGTCCAGTAGGTCTTCATTTACCCCTATTTTTAAACTATAGCTTGCACTTTTAAGATTTTGCTATTTAGTGGCTACCTTTAAAAAGAAAACACCATGAATTATACTAGAGTAAGTGGAATGTTGACATTAAAGTTAGCAATTTTGGAAATGCATGGATTGGAATCTAGGCTATAAATATGTTTATATTAAACATAAACACTGTCATCCAATAGTTTATTACAGAATAAATGAATCAAATTACCCAGACTGCAAAGTAAGAAACCAACAGAAGTACAAAATTAAAAACTACAGTAACTCAATAATTCATGGTTAGGTTTCCCTTGCATGTATTTTTGATCCAAACAAGGATTAAACTGAATTTTTTAAAAAATGTCTGCCCTTCAATTACAGGATATAATCCCAAGAATGCCTTTATTTCTTCTCTTGCCAGATCACTTCTTTTAACAAAGAAACCTAGAGTGATCCATTTGGAACATAGACTATTCCCTAGGCAGCACAGTGTTAATGAGATCTCAGGGAGAATTTCACTGTTGACTTCAAAATGTATGAATAGTAATATCAAACTTTTTACTGTAAAGCAGTAAACATCAGTATCAAACATAAACCATCAGACACAAACTTTTTTTAAAAAAAACCCATAAATCTGAATAGATTAAGCATCTATATTCACTTCAAACCTCTGTACACACAGAGAAAAATAAGTGGGTTTTTTTTCTACAATTAAAGACATATTTTTTGCTCCAATAAACTTGGAATAGGGCAGACAGGAATCATCTGTTTCTCATGAAAATCATCCATAAGTAGAGTATGAGTAAGAAAATTACTTTAAGAAATACCTAAACAACTGTGAAACTGAGTTGAGTCCAGAACAAGTTCAGGACACTATCTTATAAACTGTTCTAACTGGTCAAGTTAATTGGAGCTTCTGAGAGTGGTAATTTTGCAACATTTAGAAGGCCACAAATTGTTCTGCCTTAAACCAGTCCAGCTTGACTCTTGTTGTAATCTCCAGTGTGAAAATCAGATTATAGGCTGAGATTCAGATAGAATTCTCTCTCCCACATTTTCTGCATAACCAGCATCTCCCAACCTTCCATTTCCCTTTATAGTGTAAATCCTGTATGCCTACTTTGGAGGCATACAGGATTTACACTTAGGCATACTCCAAGTTTAATGTGAACTGAAGAAGCTTCTGGGATGAGAGGTGAAATGTCTTCAAGGAAAAACAAGAAAGTTGAGTTGCCTCTTGAAAAAGCACCTTTGGGACAACCATGACCTGGATGACTGAGAATCTCCATAGACCAGTTTAATAGGACTTGTCTATGGAGGTTCTCAGTCATCCAGGTTGTCCCAAAGGTGCTTTTTCAAAAGGCAACTGGCCTTTGTTTTTCCTTGAACATGTTTCGCTTCTCATCCAAGAAGCTTCTTCAGTTCTGACTGAATGGTGCAGATGGAAGGATTTATATTTATATAGTGTGCAGCAGCAGCAGCCAAAAAAGTCAATGCAAACCTAAATTGCATTAGCAGAGGGATACAATCAAGATCAAGTGAGGCACTAATACCACTCTATAAAGCCTTAGTAAGACCACACCTAGAATACTGCATCCAGTTTTGGTCATCACACTGTAAAAAAAGATGTTGCAACTCTAGACAGACTGCAGAGAAGAGTAACAAAGACGATTAGGGGACTGGAGGCTAAAACATATGAAGAACGGTTACAGGAACTTGGCATGGCTAGTCTAATCCAGGGGAGACAGGACAGCAGTGTTCCAATACTTGAGGGGCTATCCCAGAGAGGAGCGGGTCAACCTATTTTCCAAAGCACCCGAAGGCTAGACAAGGAATAATGGATGGAAACTGATCAAGGAGAGGTTCCACCTGGAAATAAGGAGAATTTTTCTGACAGTCAACCAATGGAACAGCTTGCCTTCAGAAGTTATGGGAGCTTCATCACTGGAGGCTTTCAAGAAGAGACTGAACTGCCATCTGTCAGAAATGGGATAGGGTCTCCTGCTTTTGGGGGTGGGGGGGGGGGTTGGACTAGATCAGGGGTGGGCAATTGTGGCTCTTTTACAACCTGTGGACTTCAACTCCCAGAATTCCTGAGCCAAGCTGTCTCAGGAATTCTGGGAGTTGAAGTCCACAGGTTGTAAAAGAGCCACAATTGCCCACTCCTGGACTAGATGAGCTACCAGGTCCCTTCCAACTGTTATTCTATTCTATATTTCTTGCAGCCATCCAGTTCCATAGGGTCTACCTAAAAGACCCTATATTTTTGCCTCAACTTTCACGTACCAAAAAAAAAACAAAAAAACCTCCCACCAACCTTCAAGAGTTCAGTTTCAAGGGAAACCTGTTCTTGGAAGATGAAAAAGTCTTTAAAAGCAATCCTGCAGGAGGGGCTTCCTTTTTCCTGTGCCGAGGATCCGAAGCAGTCCTGAAAGCCAAAGGGCCTTTCAGGAGCAAAAGGACGAGAGAGAGAGAGAGAGGAGCTGCTTCTAAGCGGGACCCTCCTTCGTATTTCGGGGTGTTTTTTTTTTCCCCCTTCCCCGCCACGACAAAACCCAGCCTGGCGCTCGCCTGCCCCAGAGCCTAGCCGCAGCTGGAGCTGGAGCTGGAGCAGGAGCACCGGGCGGCAAGGGCAGTTGCTTTAGCCAAAGGCGGCGGGAGAAGCTCCCGGGGTTGCCCCCAGCCCCGCGGATTTCTATACCTGAAGGTCCTCGGGTGAGATGGATCACTTCCTCCGACAGCAGATAGTGCACCCCTCCGTTCATGCTGCTCTGTCCTGCGGGGGCCTCTGCTCGGCGCCCGTTCGCTCCGCCAAGCGCGCGCTTGAAGGTGAACCCAGCCAAGCCAAAGTCGAGGAGGGGGAGGTGGCTACAGCGGCGGCACGGCGGCCGCGGCACTTTCACTTTCAGCAGCTTCGCAACCGGAAGAACGAGAGCGGCCGCTAAGAATTCTGGGGCTTGTGGTCCTCTCCTCCGGTCTTCCTGTCCTCCTCCTTCTCCTGTCGCCCATCTCCTCCCACCTGTGACTGCGTGACTGTAGAATAGAATAGAATAGAATAGAATAGAATAGAATAGAATAGAATAGAATAGAATAGAATAGAATAGAATAGAATAGAATAGAATTTTTTTTATTGGCCAAGTGTGATTGGACACACGAGGAATTTGTCTTGGGGCATAGGCTCTCAGTGTACATACAAAGACAAGATACACTCGTCAAGAATCATAAGGTATATAACACTTAATGATAGTCATAGGGTACAAATAAGCAATCAGGAAACAATATCAACGGTAACTTTGTTGCTTGGATCCTTGCGATTTATATTGATATTGATTGTTTCCTAGTATGATTTGATGGCTTATTGTACCATATGACTGTCACTGGGTATTGTGCCTTGTGATTCTTGAGGAATGTATCTTGTCTTTTTATGTACACTGAGAGCATATGCACCAAAGACAAGTTCCTTGTGTGTCCAATCACACTTGGCCAATAAAGAATTATATCTATCTCTCCTTGCAAACGCAGCTAGTCCAGTCGGTTTTGTTGGGGGCGGGTAGTTATCGCTATCACATATTGGCGGCCTTCTCATGTGATAGTTATTACTTAGTGCCGGCTTCTACCCAACTATATTTTAATTATAGTGTTCAAATTACTTTGTATCTTCTTCTACAATGGCTTATTTTTGCATATTATGAAAGTGAATTTGATAACACATCATCTGCATAGTCTTATATCGTAGCATAGGTTTAAGTGCATTGGTAGCTGTGGTTACTTGCATGATGATGTAGGAAGAAATATCCTTCTGGGTTCAGCTCCAAGTGGGGAAAAAGACACTGGAAACATGGAGACTGCTTGGAAAGATGGTTTAATGCAGCTCCCATGGATCACATGGTTTGAGTTCCTGAACAGAAAAGGGCCGAGATGCTGTGAGTCCCCGGGTTTTATGCCCTCTCTGGTTTTGAACTTCCTGGGGCCCAGAAAGAGTATCCTGATTGGTTGTCAGACTCCCAGGAGGTGGGGGTCCTAGCTAGCCTTGCTGGCTGATGTAATCTTCCAGGTGCCATGTGGTGAGTTCTGTTGCTAGATGGATCCTATTGTGATGCAGATGATGGTCCTTTGACAAAGGATTGGGTTTCTGCCTCTGGCCCATTGACAAAAGGGGGGGGGAAGCAGGAAGGTGGGAGCTGCTTTGTCTTTAAAACATGCTTCTCCATTTCTCATCCAGGGAAACATAATATTCTGCCTTTTTAATATTTTCTAAAATATTTCATTCTTCTAGGAAAGGGGTGGGTACTAACTTCCTACAATGATATTGTGTTACAATACAGTCCTCACCTTTTGCATTTTATCTGAATGTTGGACAGAAACATGTAAGTCACAAGAGTTAGCATTTTGACATATTTTGTTATTTGCTCCCCCCTCCCCCACTCCAGACAATCATGATAAAACTGCAATTGCCAAATGGTTACATATAATATTATTCTGGGGCAACTCTCTGAAATCAAAGTTGCTTTTTTCCAGAGGACACACATACCTCTCTTATGAAGTTACCATTCCAAAGAAGATCATAAGCCATGCTTCCTGTCTCCTGCAGATTTGGAGGAGACTTGTATAGCGCATCACTAACAAAGGAAGGGTTTAGTCTCTAAGTACCTCTACTATAGTAAGGGTTATCTAAATGGACCATTGTGGATAACTTTTTATAATGGTTATATCAAGGTAAGCCACCTTTCTAAGCAGGTTTCGCAAGTCTTACAAGAAAATGAGACTTGTGTAATTGAGCTTCTTTGGATATTTATTAACTTTCAATGTATGCTTTTGCAGTTAGAATAAAGACAGGTGTTTTTTTTTTACCTGCGTTATCAGCTAATGTAAAAGAGCCTAAACATCAAGTCAGCCATGATTCAAAAACCAGTGATGGTAGCAGCCATAAGTTTAAAAGTAGAGTGCTAAAGAGTAAAACATCAAGAGCTTTTTAAAGCCCTTTTAGGAAAAATGTTATTTGTTTGCTTATTTGTGAGATACAACCACTGTATCCCTGCCATGGGGTGAAGCCAACCCGGACTACAGTATTTGGACTGCTTAACTATGTTTGTACTAGGAACAAGAATAGCAATGGCTGAATTTAACATGCCTTTTCTTGGTTAGTAATTTTGTCTTTGTATTATTCATTCTACTTCCCATGTAAACTTTGGCAGTAGAGAGGAACATGTGAAGGCTTCTATGTGAACTGGAGCCCTTAAACTCTGGGATTCAGGATTATGCAGAAACCATCATTTCTTGCGGGTATTGAAAATTTCACTATGCTGAAGAAGTCTGCTCTAAATAATATACAGGCTATATAACAGAAATTGGATAATGCAAGGTTCCCAAAACCATTACTTTAATGCTTTTTTATTTATGATGTTATTTGGTGTGGTTTTTTTCTGGACTTCTCCAGTAGGACTGAGATAATAGAATTCTAAGGCTGAACTGGTTCTGCAGACAACCATGAATTAATGGATAAATGGATTAACATTTACTTCAGTTCAAATCCTGTTCTAAAGCAACAAAAACAAAAGTATCAAATATGAAGAAATACAGCAGAAATGGGGCAAAAACCCTTAATCTGTGCAAACTAATTATTCTTAAGAAAGAAACACAGAAACCAGACATTAAAACATAGAACAGATTTGTACCAGAAGGCAACAGGAAATATTTATTTAGGAGAAAGTTTTGCTTTACAATTCATCAATAATTATAAATATGTAATGTACACTATTACAAGGTACAGTAGTAGATACTTCAAAGTTTCTGCATCTTTAAAATGAAAACAGAAAAATCGACCTTTACAACACACATCCTTGGGAGGGATCTAAAGTGGTGATATGTTATTATTCCCTAGGTTACTGAGAACACATAGCACATACTGTCACATTCCATCATTCAGAGAAATGTGAGGCATTGGGTTAAATGTGTGGGTTGCATCTTATGTTAATGTTTGAAATGCAAAATCTTACATTTAACTATATTCCTATCTCTACCTTATCTGGAAGATGATAACTTCAAATCAATTTGCTTCAGAATAGGATTAAATTAATTCATTAAGAATACCAGAATTCTTATTATGCTCCTATTCCTTTGCTGGACTTCATCTGACTTTTAATCATTCGTGTCAATTTGAGACAAAACCTACAGGCTAAAACACAGGTAATCAAAAGCACAATTGATTGAATTCCCTGAAAAATAACTTTCCTAAAGTGGTACTTTGAATGTTGCTGCTCCAAAATATCTAAGTTAATTCTCAAATGCTCTGATGCTGTATTTATTTATTAATTAAATTTATTAAACACATTATGTGGCCGCCCAAGTCACACACAGTAATTCTTTGCTAGGACTAACCATCTGTGTCTCTCTTCCAGAATGAAAATGAGACCGAGAAGACTGTAGGTGAAATTGGGGAAAAATACCAACATTAGAGTTCAGATATTGGGGGATTCTGGAAGCTGTAGTTCTAATACATCTGCAGCCTCTCTCTCTACAACTCCCAGTTCCCCCATCAATTCTCACCTTCAGTCATCTGTCACCAACACACCAGAACTATCTGACAGGACTTCTTCTAAAATCTCAAAAAATGAATTGAAATGGATTATTTCATGATGGGTCTCAGTGTTCTCTATTAATTCTTTTCATGTTAAGTCATGAAGATAGTTCCTTACTTCTTGAGACAGAATTTGGAAGTATGCCTAGAAAAATTCATGTGCTGTCAGAAACAACTGCTGAACTCCCAGGATAATGTAAGGAAACATGTCTCCCCCCAGCTCTGGTCTTTCCTGCATGTTTATCCAGCAGTTACATCACAAAACAATGAGAATTTTGCACATCAAAGTTGGGACTTCTTCACCTCATTGGACTGAACACAGAGAGAGGAAGTTTTCAAACAGAGCAGCAAAGAAAAGGCCCATAGCATCTTCCTTGCGACTTCATAGGTGCATGTCCTTGCCCATATTAGCTGCATACATGAGTCATTACCTTTGAAGTCACATGCATTTCACTCCAATGCTTTCTTAACAGCCTTTTTTGAGAGTCAGATCCAAACTGGGAACAAAAGCTGTGGGACAAAACATTCCACAAAGAATGGGCCTTTGAAAGGAGAATAAAGTTACAGGCAAGTTAATGACAAGCAACAGGAACTTGCTGTTTTCCCTAGAAAGACAAAAGCAACATTGCAATGTGCCATCACAAGCTAGGCCCCTTTGAGGCATGAGTACAAGCTCACAATTCACATAGAAAAGGACCAGGATTGAATCATGGCTGTACCATGCTGGTAACATCAGTTTGACTTCTGTTGGCATCCCTACAGACGCCAGTGCTTACTGAACAAGATGCCAGTCTCTTTTGCTTAGTATTATCCAATATTATCTTATTAAAGATTTGACTCATGAACCCTGGTTCATTTCCATGACTTACCATGAGCCTTTTTTCACTTTTCATTCCTGTTGACTAAATCTTCCCTCAGACTCCCTGGTTCTATGTACAATTTGGTTCCTAAAATAGGCACCAAAAAGGACAAGGGCACAAAGAGGAAATACAATTGCTAAGATAATTTTCATTTTGGGATGAAGTCTCTCGCGTTCATACAGAGGTGGCGGGCCACTGTCAATACTGCCACCATTGCCTTCCTCTTGGCAGTGTGGGGGAGCCCAGCCTTGCTCACAGTGACAATGCTTGAAATTGTTGCATATTCCATGATTATGGCACTTTGTGACATCGCAATCATATCTCAAAAGGGACACATTAACACACTCCCTGTTAATACACATCATGCCATTGCCACAAGGAGTGCCATCTCTCACTGCTCCAATATCGATGATCTTCATCCCACTGTGGTAATCGGTTCCCCAGCATTGTTGATTGCCCTTGGAAGTTTGAACTATGGTGGTGTGATCCTCCAAAGAGGGCAAGCTTTCCACATTTTCACACTGGATACGACCGCATAGAATATTCTTAGGTATACATTTGTTATAAATTCCATGTTTAAGGCCACAGTTGCCAAACCGATCACCTTGAGTATTCATTTCTCTAAAGCAAACTTCTGAAGCAACTGTTGCTTTGCTGCCAAAGATAGCTTTGCATTGTCTATCATGAGTATTGCAATTCCCATTATAACAATATGCACCATCATTGCACGGGGCACCATCTTGCACATAAACATCTTGGGGACACCTCTCAGAAACTCCATCGCAGTACTCGGGAAGATCACAACTGCTTGTCTTATTTCGGCAGACTGTTCCAGTAACTTCGTACTGACATTTGGTACAACACTGTCCAAAAGCACAAGTGGCCCCTAAATGTAACTTACAGTTAGATTGACAACATGGATCCAACTTGCATTCAGCTTTGGTACCACAGTCACATTGCTCTCCATTATCTACTACTTTGTTGCCGCAGAATTTGAATTTAAATATTTTATTAGGGTCTGGTGGAATTAACAAACAGTTCAAATTTCTGTGTTGGAAGTAATCTATATAACTGCAGTTGCTAAACTTATCGGTTATTACTTGTGTTAGGGCCATAATGCATTTTGCTCGATCACACACACAGTATTGCGAATCATGTTGCATGCCAAGATTATGTCCTAGTTCATGGATAAATGTGTTAGAAATACGGTACAAACTGGAAGTAACGTATGATTCAACAGCTGAGCCACTATTATCATCACAAATCTTTCCTAAATATGCTAATCCTATTGCACGGCCGAAATTCTTAAATATAAATAAGTGACCAGCATCATTTGGTAAATGAGCAAGTAATGAGTCTCTTCTCCAATTAGTGAATTCATCAAGTGTTTCAATGATGTCATCATGAATTGATATAAGATTTCTTTCTGACCATATTTCTAGTCCAGCAATAGACAAATGAACAGAAAGAGGCTCATACAGTACGTTTGCAATGTAGAAGATATCCAAAACATTTATAGCAGTAAGAGTTTCATTTTTGCCAAATTTCAAAAACCGTTCATGATCAATCACAATAGCTATCTCTGCATACCTCTCGTGTGACCACCAATTTGCTTTAGATATACTTTTGTCTGGTTTTTTGTCAGCATTTTGGATCATGGCTTCTTGATGTCTTTGCTCTTCCTGTGTTAGGCCGCACATCATTGGAATGACTCCCATCTTTTCTTCTAATCGAAAGACTACATGTTGAAATGTAGCGGATTCTGGAAGTGGCTCTATTTCATAAATTTTATTTTTAAATTGCAGTAGGCCCCTGAGTCCTCCAGAGCAAGTGCTGATGATGGCCAGAGAGAAAGGCTCACCCTCTACAATACCAGCGTAGTAACAGTCATCCCTGAAGAATGGATAATCAAGCTGGAGATCCCCATCCTTACTATAAGTGAAGATGGGCAGATGTTTGGGGATTAAGCTTCTTTTCTGCTTTAGGTGCATTACAAGATTCCTCCCCTCAATTTGAAACAAATAGGTCATATTCCTGGATTTCTGTTGTCCAAATTTGACCGTTAATGACTTTGGGATGGTTATTTCATAAGAAGCATAAATAAAGCCCCAAGGAGGTTTCTGAGAGGCAGTATCAGTCAGGAAATTCATCAAGAATGTCACCAACAGCCAGGGAAGATGAATATTCATACTCTCTGGCAAAGAAAGGAATCCCTTAAAATACAAAATACATTTTCTGACATTTCAATTCAGAGAAGGAAGCCTCCAGCAACTGATCGGAATCTAGGAACAAGTTTATAAGACTGTAAACAAAATGTCTTCCACAAAGACGAAGAGGATTCTATACCAGGCAACTGTTAATGGGGTTTCCTTTGGAATGTGGGTGGAGCTTGTGGAATCAAACATGGAGTAGAATGGCAGACCTAACCAGGCTTCTTTATCAACAGAATTTGCTTTCTAATTCTGGGATTTTTTTAAAAAATATATATTTTATGGAGTGGGTGACTTGTGTTGCTAGCACTTCCTATAGATGGCCTTTTGTAGTAAATGTTTGTTTTTCTCGTTAAATGTAGACATGTTCACTGGGTTATTTCTCTTTGGACCTGATTTGAACAACTTTCTAGATAAGTCATTTGAACATTTTGAGTTTTCTCTCTATGAATTGATGAAATAAAAGGCTTTTTAAAAGGTGCACAACTATGTATTAATGATTAAGTACTTTGGCATTTCTCATTTGGAAAAGTTTATAAATTATTGTCAGAACTGATTTTCACCTAATTAAAGAGGGATGGGTTCTGGGAAAATGCTGCACAAATATTCTGAATTCATAAAAAGGAGTTTTCCTTCTCTTTTGACACCTGGATTTAAAAAAAACACACACCAGCTTTATCTCTAGATGAGTGTTTCTCACTTAGGAACTCCCAGAATTCCTCAATCAACATACTAGCAGAGAAATGTGGGAGTTGACGTCAGTGTGGGAATCAAACTCCACACATCTTGAAGTTGCTAAGGTTGAGAAACATTACTATAGCTAGTGGGGTAGGCAGGTTGAAAAGATACCCTTTCATGAAAAGATACAATTTCATGACATGTACCCAGATAAACCTCACTAATTATCTTCATTGTTTCTCTTTCCAGGTGGATCTCTCCTTTTCCTAGGGGGGCAACATGTCAGGTCCCATAGCTCCCTGTTGGGACACTGCCATTCTGGTGGGGAGGAATGCATGTTCCGTTTACAGCCCCTTTCCTGTCTCTGGCTTTCTTGTCGCTTTGATGTACCTGCTTGGGAAAGGGAGGGGGAGGGAACTGCCTGGGGCTATCTGTTTTGTCTCAGCTCTGATGAAGCAGCCAGAATGATGTCTGAGAACAACTTCTTATCACCTTTCTTGGCTCGAGTTCTCAAAACAACTTCGCACCTGTGGATTGGCTCAACTTGGGCTGGACATATGGGAGGGACTTTTTCAACGTTTAATTGAACGGTCTTTGGGTGGTAAATTCTTGCTATCCTTCCTATCGCTTTCTCTCAATAAAAGTTTCCTTTTGAAATAATGCTTGTTTCAAGAGTTCTGCTTTCTTGAGGAGAGAGGAGAGGCAAGTCTTTACAGGTTGTGAATTGGTGGAACTGGGCACTGTTATACATTTCTTTGTGCATCTACTCCAAACCCCCTCCTAAAAAAAACCATGTGTCTAAATAGACTTTCATTATTTGCTATTCTGGTATGTGACTTTTCACCATCTACTTGAATAATTTTCAAAACAATTTAGATGGAAACTTCCATAAGAGTGTTAGGGGAAAAGGAATCCACAAAGATTAAGGAACTAGTTATTACAACATTTTTATGTCTTAGTCTCTGGAAGAGAGGTTTCTTATTCCCCATAGTTCCTTCTAGAGAATTTTAGTAGCAAAGATTGGGACCGAACCCTAAGGCTGTCCCATAGCCACTTGCCCAGATGTTCATTCACCAGCCTGCAATAGGAATAGACTGTCAAGTATTAGGACTGATACTAAATTTCCATGTCACCAGTGGTGGCTTGCTACCGGTTCACACCCACACCGGTAGCGGCGGCGGGAGGCTCCACCCACCTGTCCAGACGCTTCTGCACAAGTGCAGAAGTGCTGCGCATATGCGCACGAGCAAACTGGCAGCGACAGGATTTGGAACCCTGCATTTCACCCTCCATCTTTTCATGTCCAGGAATAGCTGATATAGCTTACTGGTTATGTGAACTAGTTTATTGGCAGTGCCAAGTTTGTATCATCCACTCCTGCTTCACCCAACATGGTAGATGAGTGAGCTTCCTCCATGCATTCAACGTGCTTTATAAATATGCAGAATGACAGGTTAATCTTTCTCATACATTTGAATAATCTTTGTGAATGGCATCCCTGTCATTTCTCAAAATAAATAAGTGGAAAGTAGTATAGAACATCTTTTCCTACTTGAAAACTGCACAAAAGTTAGATTGCAACCTCACCAAATTCAACACAGTACCAGTTTAGATAGGGCAGCCGTAGGATACAACATTAAAATAGAAAGAAATCTTCTTCTGGGTCCCTTATTTCCATTTCATTCACTTAGTTGACATGTTTTGGATATGACATCCTGTTTCTTCACAATTTAAAAATGCATCAGTAGAGCACAAGGCAGCGAAGGACTGGCAACTAAACTCAGTAGCATTGGGATCTTGGTAACCAGGGAGTCAAGACATGACTTTTTAAAGAGGAAACACCACAAGCTGAGTCACATAGCAATGGATCACGGAAGGAACAGATCTTTGTCCAAGAACATCGGCTGCATTGGAACTGAATCACTGGTGGATTTTCTTCTTTCTTAGTTGTCCAGCTCTCTGATGAACATAAGCACAATTGGCCAGCCTTGGAAGCAAAAGGTCTAGTTATGGTAAGGTTCAAATTAAATGGAGAAGGGAGAGGGAGCCACACTGGGCTGTCCTCACTTGTGTTGTGAGTTTGAATAAGTTCTGGAATAATTTACCTGGGCAAAGTGCCCTATAGGTGTCCTGAGAAGAGAGAAGGGAGGGAGGGAGGGAGGGAGGGAGGGAGGGAGGGAGGAAGGAAGGAAGGAAGGAAGGAAGGAAGGAAGGAAGGAAGGAAGGAAGGAAGGAAGGTTATTCCATTTATTAGAAATTGATTTAAATTCTTCTGCTGGGCAGGAGCCAGAGGAAGAATTGGTGGTAAATGAATGAAGGGAATCCTCTATATTGCACATGTGTTTTCTGCTATGTATGAGGAAGTGGTAGCTGGGTACACTGATGACACTGAGAGATAATATTTCCCATGGAATGAAAACAGTGAACTTTTTATTTAAAACATATCAATCTCAGTAAAATTGATGAGAAAAGTTGAAATTGAATAACACAAAAGACCATGTTGGAGATGTCTTTCTCCAATAGTCACTGAGTGGCTTCACAAAACTGAACATCCATAATAATTTCATCAATAATTTACTAGGGCGCAGTTAGAGAAGTGTCAGTGTGCAATGCTATGTTGGCTGGCCCATATTCTCTATCATCAACAATGCCTCTTGATCTTTCTTTGACATCCAATGTACTGTTGGTATAGCCAGCTACTAGTTAAGGTATCTTCAGTTCAGATACTTCTGTTTCAAGGCTGTCCCGGAGAGTTATTTTTCATTACAAAGCAGAAATTTCCTCAACTCATTCTCACAGAACTTTGCCTATATCAGAGGGTTTCTTCCCCTTCAAACAAGCCAGTTTTTTCAAAAGGGTATGTGTCTGGGACACACCTTTAAAATACTGAAATTTCAAATATCTTTGTTTTTCAAATTGACTATTAATTCCTTTGCATTGTGGATTCTTAGCAAGGGTGAGTTACACTGGTGTTCCTTCATTTTTTTATTTCGTAGCATGGACTCTGTCCTTAAATTATCATGATCGGATTCTTTGTCCATCCTTGCAACAGATAACCAAACAAGCACAAACAGTTAGGAGACAAAAAGCACAGAGTATTCCAGATACAGCTGAGATTTTCATACTCTCACTAGATTGTACTGTAACTGGAGGTGGCCCACTGTCTATGCTACCTCCATAGCCTTTATTTCTACAGTTTGGAGGGGACCATCCAACATCACAGTGACAGTGTTTGAGAGTGTTACAAACTCCCCGATTGTGACACGCTGTGACATGACAATCATATTTCAGAATTGACACAGGGACACAACTACCCTCAATACATAACATGTTATTGCCACAAGGAGTACCATCTCTCACTGCTCCAATATCATTTACCTTCATCCCAGTGTGGTAGTCAGTGCCCCAACATTGATTAACTCCAGTGGAAGTATGAATTATTGTAGTGTGATCCTCCAAAGAAGGCATTTGTGTATTTTTACACTGGATACGGCCACACAGGCTATCCCCAATATCACATTCCTTGTAAATTCCATGTTTAAGGCCACAGTTGCCAAAGCGATCACCTTTATTATTCACTTCTATGAAGCAAAGTTTAGAAGCGACTGTTGCTCCACTACCAAATATCATTTTGCACTGCATATCATGAGTCGTGCAGTTCCCATGATAACAATACACGCCATCATTACACACTGCGCCATCTTGCACATGCACATCTTCTGGACAGTGCTCTGAGGTCCCATTGCAATATTCAGGGAGATCACAACTGCTAATCTTCTCTCTGCAAACAGTTCCACGTTGACGATATTGGCAGTTAGCACAGCACAGTCCAAAGGCACAAACAGCCGCAGGACGCAACATACAATTAGCTTGACAGCAGGGATCTGCCTTGCATTGTGTTTCTGACCCACAGTCACACTGCTCTCCCTTTTCCACTCTTTTGTTACCACAGGATTCAAATTTAAATGTTGTGCTAGTGTCTGGTGGGATAAATAAACACTCAGTGTTTCTATAGTGGAAATAATCCTTGTAACTGCAGTTACTAAATTTATCAGTCTCTGCTACAAATGGTGCCATAATACATTCACTCTTTCCACAATGACAATATCCTTCATCATGTTCCATTCCAAGAACGTGTCCCAGTTCATGGGCAAATATTTCAGAAATCAAAAACAAACTGGAAATTCTATATGATATAATGGAACTTGCCCAGTAACTGCTACATATGGTTCCAACATAGGCAAGGCCTACTATACCTTTACTAAAATGCTGATATGCAAATAAGTGACCAACATCATTTTCTAAAATATGAAGCAGATTGGTAATTCTCCAATAATTAAACAATGTAAGTGTTTTATCTGCTGAAAAGGTAATTGTTATAGGGTTGTATTGTGACCACATCATTAATCCTGCTATTGACAAATGAACAGAAAGAGAGTCATAGAATGAATTTGCAGTGTGGACAATATCTAGAACTTGCATAGTAATAAAAGATTCATTTCTGTGAAACTGCAAATATAGTTCATGATCAATCACAATTGCTACCTTAACATATCTGGTATGTGGCCACCAGGATTTTCCAAAAACGTCTTTGTTTCCAAGATTCTGTGTTTCAGGAATTATGTCCTGTTGATGGCTGTGCTCTTCCTCTCCTACTCCACAAGCCATTCGGAGAGCCCCTTCCTCTACTTCTAACTGAAACACCACGTGTTGAAAGGTAGAAGATTCCTGGACTGGTTCAATTTCATAGGTCTTATTTTCCATTTGCAGGAGACCTCTCAGTCCTCCTGAACATGTACTGAGGGTGACTCGAGAAGAGGACTTTCTCTGTATAAATCCATTGTAGAAACAGTCAACCTTGATAAATGGGTGATCCACCTGGAGATCTCCTGCTGTATCATAGGTGAAGACAGGAAAGGCCTTTGGGATGAAATTCCTTCTTTGCCTGAGGAACAGCACCTGGGGATTTCCTTCAATGTGCAGGAGGTAGCTCACATGCAGGGGTTCTTCTTGCCCGTACTTGGGAGACAGCTTCCTTGGGATGATCACGTCATAAGAGGCATATCTGAAGCCCTGAGGAGGTGCCTGTCTAGAAGCTTCATTTTGGATGATCTTCAGCAATACCACACTCAATAATGCCACACAGGTACTCATTTTCACAGAACAAGTGTAGAAACTGACCATATTCTAGAAAACGAATCCGAATATGGATGGGCACAGGGAAATTGAGTGTATTTGTGTGTGAGAGAGACAGAGATGTTGGGACAGGCTTAAAGATTTGAAAATGAGGATTCTGTACATAGCAACAGAAAATGCAGTATATTCTGGAATGGAGGTGGAGTTTGAAGAATCAAATATAGAATACAAAAGCAAAGCAATATTTATGAAATATTGAGTTTTATTATTTATTTGACCCTGTTTTAATTGTTTTTTAATTAGGATTTTCCTTTATTATTGTATGTTTTTTAACTTGTGTTCGCCACCCTGAGTCTTTTGGGAGAAGGGTGGCATATAAATATTTGTAAATAAATAAATGAAATGCTATTATGATAACTCATTATTTAATCATTTGAAGTTTCCAGTTTCCACAGCTTGATTACTGTTCGTATGCTACTGTTGCATAATTTATCTAGCAGGAATGAACTGCAGATTTGTTCTGGTTGGCTGAAGCTGTGAATTGAAATTGATTATTTCTAGGGAAGTAGCCTATCACACCAGGAGAGGTGTGGCTTTGTAAGAGCTCAAAACTAATAATCTGCTGGACTTTCTGATTTCTAATTCAAGATAGTTTGATTTTTCCTCCAAACACAAGGGTCATTTTTGTCAGGGCATTTATTAATCCCATGTTTGGCTCTGGGACTAATTACCCCTGGTTTAAAGGAGGAGATGAATCGAGGCTTATTCCAAGTTGCACTATTCTGATAAAGAAACGCGAAGGAGGGTTTCTAATAAAACTCATTTATTTGTTATAAAGAAAATAAAACACCTCACTAACTAAGAAAAGTTAATTGTTACATTTTTGAAAATAATTCTTGCCGGCTATCTGAGCCGGACCTCTGGCAAGAGAACAAAAGAAAGAGTGTGAGAAGGAATGTGGGTGGATACGGAAACACGTAGCTTACTGATAAGAAGTTGGCAAAGCTACGGAGAGTCTGACAGTCCAGAAATAATGAGCTCAGCTGGTAAATAAAATAACGCAGTGACATTCCCCTTCTTTTGCCAGTTGAGCGAATATCAGTTCATCATCAAATAAGGCACATCTTCTCATGCAGATACTCGTGTTGAGCTGCTGGAAGTGGTTTGTTGAGCATATCAGCAATTTGATCATGTGTAGATACATACTGCATTTTGACAAAACCTTTTTTCACTAAATGCTTTATGTTTTGGTAACGAATGTCAATGTGTCTGGACCTAGAACCTGTAAAATGAGATTCAGAAATATAAACCACCGATTCATTGTCTTCCATCACTGTGATCGGTCGGATCGGTGTGTCCAGATATCTGTGACTAAAGCATCAAACCAAGTTAGGGAATTACATGCATCTGAAACACAAGCATATTCAGCTTCAGTAGATGAACAAGAAACAAAATTCTGTTTACGTACTTGCCAATAAACAGGACATCCATTTAAGAACATCATATAACCTGAAGTACTTTTACGTGATTTCTTATCACTTGCCCAATCAGAATCTGCATAACAACATAACTCTGCATAATCAGTATGTGTTGGTTCTAACAATAACTTCATGTGTTTGGTGTATTTTAGGTATCTCAGTAATTTCTTAATACATGTCCAGTGAAACTGTTTTGCTTTACCTACGTGTCGTGATAAGAGATTAACACTAAGTGCAATGTCGGGTCTGGTCCAACTACTAATGTACAATAGTGACCCTATGACTGAACGATAAAGTGTTTGATCCTCGAACTCAGGACTTTCTTCTTGTGTCAAGTTGTGAAAATCTGTTTGCATGGGTGTCTTTGTTGTGTTAGCATCCTTCATGTTGCAATGATGCAAAATTTGTTCAATTTTATCTTCTTGTGAAAGACTAAACCCCTTCTGTGTTTTTTCAATCTGAACACCTAAATAAGTGCTAATGTGACCTAATGATTTCAATGTGAAGTATCTCTGCAAAGCTTTGGCAAAAATTTCACTCATTTGCTTATTTGGACCAATATAAACAATATCATCAACATAAACAAGAACTATCTCATATGCATTGTTAGATCTTTTTGTGAACACGCACTCATCAGTTTCGGACTTAATAAAGCCCATTGAATTTAGTTTGTCAGTAAGACATAAGTACCACATTAAACCAGATTGTTTCAGACCATAAAGACTTTTGTTTAGGAACCAGGTATCCCCTTCTTGCTGTCGGAATCCCGGAGGACTTCTCACGTAGATCTCTTCATCTAGGTCTGCATGTAGATAAGCCGTGTCAACATCAAATTGGAAAACTTCTAAACCAAGGATAGTTGCAGTTGCTAAAGCAATTTTTACACTCTCAGTTCTGACTGTCGGTGAGTAAGTATTTGTGTAGTCCAGGATAACGTTGAGCGAAACCCTGAGCTACAAGTCTGGCCTTGTACAATGACTCACCATTTGGTTTCTTTTTGATTCTGTAGACCCATCGAGTGCCAATGACCTTTTTGTTTGCTGGAGGTTTTGCAGGTGTAAATACTTTAAGTTTCTTTAGACTGTCCATTTCAGCCTGCATTGCCTCATACCATTTGTCTTGCTCTGAATCAGGGAGCTGCTTGATTTGTGTGAAATTATCAGGTGGAAGTGTAACATTGCAAATCAAAGGCAAGGGTGCTTTTGTCAGTTGCCAAGAATATCGTTGTGGAGGGATCCCTTTTGTGGCCCTCTTGGAACGTCTCGGAACAACTGTCCAATCTTCTTCTGCTTCGTCCTCGTCCTCACTTTCGTCGCTAGCATCAGCATCCGCGGCTTGCGAAGACGGAACATCGGGTTGAGAAGAATCAGTGGAATCTTGATCATCAATCTGCGTGGTATCAGCAGTATCATCTCTGGGGAAAATAAACTCCAGGATCATTGGAATGATTCCTGGACCAGTCAATATCTTCTTCAAAATTAGCAGATTGGGAAATCACAATTACATGTTTAGAGTCAATAAATTTGCTCCATTTTGAATTATCATCAATACCCATAAATCTCAGTCTCTTTGCTGCTGGACTTCCTTTTCTTCTTTGAGCTAAGGGAATGTTCACCATAGCATATGAACCAAAAATATGGATGTTTTTAAGATCGGGCTTGTAGCCATACAACATAAAGAAAGAAGTCTGATTTGTTACACTGCTCCAAGTACGGTTGACAATGTAATTTGCATACTTGATAGCTTCACCCCAGTATATCTTACCAAGGTTGGCGTCTTCTAGGAGACAACGCATCATGGTTTGCAGTACCCCTTGTCTTCGTTCTACGACTCCATTGTGAGCCGGTGTGTAAGGCGCCGACGTCTGATGAATAATTCCATTCTTACGCATCCAGTCTTGGAAACACTGAGACATGAACTCGGCACCACGATCACTCTGGATTCTGGCGATGCGAACTTGGTGTTGGGTAGAAACAAGGGTTGCAAAGTCTTTAAAGATCTGAAAGGTCTCTGATTTTTCTTTCATAGGATATACATATCCATATCTAGAGTAATTATCAACAATTGTTAGAAAATATTTTTCTACCACCAAATGATGGCGGGAATGGACCAACTATGTCAATGTGAACCAAATCAAAAATGCGTGTTGACAGGCGTGTAGCGTGTTTGGGAATGGCTGCTGCTTTGGATTTGGCCTTCTTGCATACAGCACAATCCAAAAACACCTTACACCCCTTTAGATCCAAACCTTTTGCGAACTCCGGCATCTTCCTAAGAAACGGAAACTGGCATGCCCCAATCTTCTATGCCATTTGTGGATACACCTGGAATGCAAAGGTTTACCTGTTAGTGAATTCTCAACATTAACATTTTTATGCGGAACCTCAGGTTTGCTCTGAGCAACCTGTTTACCAATTCTATTTTTGTTGGCTTTAGGAGCCTTAGGAATAGCAACAGGATCTCTCTCTGGAGCATCTCTATCTGGGCCTGTGCCTTCCCTTTTTGGAGTTTGCATACTTGCCTGTGTTTGTGTTTTAGGCTTTGGCTTTAAGTAATAAACACCACCAATTAATATGGTTTCAGCAACAATATCTCCATCTTTAACTATGTAACTTGCTTTTTCAAGGTGATGAACCTGGAACTTTAACATTCTAGATAAGTGATACTGACTAAGCAAATTACTGGTTGCTGTTGGTATGTAATAAACATCAGGAATGAATGCATCGAGCTCTTCAACATAAACAGTTCCTTTTCCTTTGACCTGACAAGGATGATTGGAAAAAGAATAAAGTTCACGTAGTTCTGGTTCAGGCTCGTGCATCTCTGTGAAAAGTTCCTTTCTGTAGGTAACATGCAATGCTGCACCACTGTCCAAAGTCCACAGGAGTCGTCTGTCGTACTCTGGTTGAGGTTGTGGATCATTGGTTAAAGCCAATGTGGCGAGTGGAGTTTGTGGATCACGCCGGGGACCACGATGACCTTGTCTACCGCCTCTGCCTCTGCCTCTGGAATCTGTTCCTCTGGGCTGGTACGTGACGGGAGCTGGAACTCGTTGGGGACAATCCCGGTGGCATGTCCCACACGATTGCAGGTGTTGCATCTTGGCATCCTTGGAGCATAGGTCCTTCCTCGGAAGGGGCGTCTAGCTGGAGCTCTTGATGCGGGTGGTCCTCTCAAGTGTGGAGTAGCTAGCATGAATGCCTCTTCTTCAATTAAAAGTCTACAGACATTGTCCACTGTGCGTTGAGCAATTGGGACTTGGTTAATTTTTGTAACAGCATCTTTCCATTCATAATTCAAAGAGTTAATAATGATGCTGATCATTTGAATATCTTCAATGTTATGGCCTCTTTCTCTCAATTCTGTTCTCAGACCTTTCAGTTTGGTCAAATGTCCTCCAATTTGTTCATCAGGTTTCAATCTCGAACCGTGGAGTTCAGACATGAGTAAACATGAAGATTCAATTGAGATAGGCCTGTAGCAATTTTCCAATTCAGCCCAAATTTGTCGGGCTGTTGTATTTGGTGGAAAAGTGACCTGCAGTTCAGTATCCATGGACATCAATAATGTTGTGCGAGCCCTTATCTCTAAATCTCTTATTGCATAAGTCCAAGGT